TAAATAAAAAGATTTTTTCCGGGGGGCCCTTTGTTTTTTTTTTTTTTTTTTTTTCACTTGACATTCTTAAAAGGTCTCCAGAAACCTGCACAGAAAAACCAAATGCAACCATTCGAGTCGTGTCTTTCGCTGAAACACGGCACGTTTTTTTTGCACAGGAGGAAAAAAAAAAGTTCAAGTATTTTCAAAGAAGTTGTGGAACATTCTGTTTGTTTTATCTGAGTTTTTCAAGACCTCCAGAGCCATTTTGAAGATAATCTCATGTCCTCACCATCATATTGAGGCGTGTTAGTGGTGGGTACCAGTCCAGCATGCAAGTGGAGACAAAGTTGAAAATGAGCAGTTTTTCCACACATTCTTCACGTCTGCGCCATGTAAATGATGATATCTTTAGGATAATGCTTGGATCCATTAACTCTTATTCTGACTTTGAAGCCTGGACTCGTCACGTCCTGCAGTAATAGCAACCATAGCTACCAGTTGAGAAATGTGCTGTTAAAAGCTTCACTCTGTCCGGATCAATATCGGCATTAAAAAACCTTTATAAAACCTTTTTTATTTAGTTTTTTAATAACCCTTGCCATCATCATTTCAGATTATGATGATGTTGCTATGGTGCTCTATCATCTTTATTTTTGATAGCTTGTGTACTTATTTTTCTATTAAAAAAAAAAGCAAGATTTTATTATTAATTTGCTGATACTTCTCCTGACATCTTATAGTTTGGATAATTCTTTCAGAACATCCAAACAATATATGTGTTTTTTTTTTTTTTTTTTAAATCTTGGCTCAGAAGTTGTTTGGGGATTCAGTGATAAAATCACCAGAAATCAAGACAAAATGACACGATCCAAAGCTGTTTTGTTGTTCTTCTTTGGTATTGCAATATTACAGAAGCGGAGCAAAGTGCTTCACAAACATGACGGTGTTATATAATTTGCAGAAAGTCAATCTACTGTCTTCATAAATCCATCCGTAGCTGCCTGTCCTGATCTCGGGCTCTGTTTCTCTTCTCCCAGTGGGTGTCTCTGGCAAGCCTCTAACTGTGGCGGTGGGACAGACTGTGCCGGGTGCCAAGGAGCTTTCTGGACTCCTCACAGGCCAGCGGTAAGCTTGCCCGCTCTCACAGGCACAACGTAGAGCTCCTAAAACCCTAAGCGTACCTACGCCCACGTCCACGCCTCCCCCCTGTTGGACGACAATGTGTCTGGTGCAGAGGGGATCGATGAGAGGTGGTACTCAGAATTTCGAGAGCCGAATGACGGCCAAAGCAGCCTTTGCTGGTGTAGCTCCTGAGCAGACTGGTGGTGTGTGTGTCACTGCAGGTCTGGTAGTCTCTCAGAGGTGTCTGGTGCCCTGTCCCCAGGCTCAGGCTCATTCAGCAGCGTGCAGCCTTGCATGGTGTCAGTGTCCTCCACACCAGCCCAGGTGCAAGCTCCAGCTACTGCCCAAGGTATCTCTGTCTTGTCCCGCTTCGCACGCTCAGTTGCACGCAGCTGTGCAAACAGAACGCAGCACGGCAGCTCCAGCACACACACACACACACACCGTAATCTGTTGGCCTGGGTCAGAATGCAGTTCTGAACGCTGGATGAGGACAGTGTGTGAGGGGCAACATACTTTAGCAAACATCATCATTGATCACCTCTTGCGCCATTGCTGCTCGCCACCGATCCGAACCTTTCCCCCTGTTTTGGACGTGATTGTCCTCATTTGCGCTTGTCTGTGTTTGTCCACGTGTTCAACCTTTTGGTTTCTGAAAGTATTAATTTGGTCCTAATGTCTGCTTTTAATATTTAACTTGCATATTTGCCGTTTGTGCTTTTATTTCCTCTGCAGCGCCGGCTTCCGCCAGCAGTCTTCTGCAAGGCCTAAGTTTCAGTCTGCAGGAGATCGTTACCAAAGCTCCTAACCTTCCCTCCACAGCAACAAGCACAGGCAGCACTCAGGTACACGAGGAAAGAAACTTTACGCTTTGTACAAATTACAATGATGATGACAAACAAGAGTGTATTGGAATAAAACCACTGCAGTTGCTGTCAGAAGTTTTGCTTACACTCATTAACATGACTGTTGTGTTTATTTCTGGCTTTCAAAGACGCACGTAAACAGTTTTCAGGGGCTACAAGAGACGACAATTAATCGATTACTAAATTAGTTGACCAATATTACTAATTGATTTATCGTGATTGAAACAATTAACTGTTTCAGCCGTAATCTATTGTGAAACCACTTTTAGTTTGGGTTGAAATCAGTGTCTAATTGTGTTTAGCTGTGGGTTTGAGGTGAATTTGGAGGTAGTTCTTCACCCGCTTTGGGAAATCCACAGTTAGCACTGGCAACAAAACCACATGATGCTGCCACCACCGTGCTTTACAGATGGTACAGTGTTCTCAAATTAACTTGAGAATAATTTCCTTTAATCTAAGGAGGAAAGTCTAGGTAACATGACTGAACTAAGAATCCCAAAACATAAAAAAAAAACTAAAATTCATCTTTTGTGATTAGCTTTCCATCAAGCTAATCTCTTACAAAATGACTGAAAAGTCCTATTGCACAGATTTTTTTTTTTTTTTTTTTTTTTTCAGTCCCCTAATCAGATTTGAAATGTTAATATTAAAATGATTCTATGAAGCTGGATTGATGAGGAAAATCTCTCAAAAGTTTTTTTTGTTCCTTTTTCTTCTTTCAGGCAGTTTGTGGAAAATCCCAGGAGGCGATCCTGAGCTCGGTCAGTACCGGCGGCAGCGCTCTGCTCCGGGCAGTTCCCGTGGTCACAACAGGAAGCATCTCGAAAACCACCGCCATCCACCAGCTGCTCACCAACGGCGGACTGGCCAAGCTGGCCAGCAGCTTGCCCGGCTTGGCGCACATCACCAATCAGACCGCTGGTATGTGTCGAACTGCCAAAACGCGACGGCCACGTTGAATGCCCGGGGGCGGAGGGGGGGGGGAGTTCATTCACTCTCTGTTTTAGAAGTAGTTCAGGACATTTTTAGACCAGAGAGGATTACGGCATTGCAGAGACACAGAGGACGGCTCTGTGGATGAGAGTGAAGACGGGTTTACTCGGAAGGAGTCGACCGGTGGAAAGTTTGCAGAGTCGCACGTTCTGCTGACTCTGCGTCACTATCACATTTGGACTCATGTTTATGGAAAAATTGCCTAATTATTTGATTCTGAAGAATTGAATATAAAATTATGTTGGATACGTTTAGTGAATTTATTAAAACATTCAATCCAGCCTGCTGCCATTGTCAAGTCATTTGTTATAATTATCATCGCATGTTTCTTTTGTTTTTGTCTCATTATCTCGTGACATGCTGTGAATTGTTCCTTCCAATCACCTGAGTTAAATAACATTAACACGTGGCATTATTCAGTTCCTGTGCCTGTTGCAATAAAGACTGAAATCAAACTCATCTGTCCATCGTTTTCCTTTTATTTTGATTTTCCCGTCTAACCATTTGGGTAAAAAAAAAAGCACAATTATGTTCTGTATGGAGCACTAGCATGTCTAGGTTGTTATTGTTACAGGGTTTTTATCTGTGTGTTGTTAGGAGGGCAGAAAGCCCCGGCTTCTATAACGGTGACCCTCCGCGGAGCACAGCCGAGTAGCGCAGCAGCTTTCAGCCAAGCAGGTGAAACTGTGACGGCAGCTCAATCAGCTGAGCCCAAGGTGCGTCACTGGAGCCCGGTGAAGCTTTTTAGTTCTTCTGAACACGGCGTGGCTTTGTCTTGCCCTGTGTGTCAGTACGTACAAACCAATTTAGGAACGCAAGTCTGCCTTAAAATGGGGGTGCCAAAGCGTATCGAGGTGAATTTACGACTTGCTCTTGGAAACGGGTGACTGAACGCAGGGCAAGACAAAACGTCTACATATGAAATCTCAACTTGGGTTGTTGCAACACATTGCATTAAACTGACACGCAGACGTCTTTGCTCACTTTTTCCTGTGCGCTGCTGGTGAACTTGCGGGGGGGAAAAGTGTTTCCTTGCTTCCAAAAGACAGAAATAAGGATGTTTGAATCATTTCCAGTCACAAAAATGCGAATGGAGTGCCACTCGTCACTCTTGCTCAGAGTGAAACTCAGTTTTTTACTCCTTAAGGAACAACACATTCTGCACAAAAAGTACTTAAAAACTGCTACTGAATTTAGTGGGTTTTTTAGTGTAGATCTGCTTCAGTTTGTGTCAGAATCACAATAAATGTTAGTTTTATAAAGATTCTGTAATTTTAACAGCAGCAGAAATTATTTTCAAATATAAAGAATTAGCTGACATGAAATTTTTACTACAGATTTTTCTTTTATTATTGTGAAACCAATATTTTTAACCGACACTTGGTGAGAATCTGTCGGCTCACATAATTGCATCAAGCACTTGAAGGCAAAACGGGGAAGTGAAGTGATTGCTCCTGCAGATTGAACAGAACAGTTTTGTCATTGAACAGAACAGTTTTGTCATTGGGTTTCACTGTGCCCTTCTCACAGCAATGAACCTCTCGGCTCACTGTGTAAGATGATGCCGCGTCAGCGACTGCTCTCCGCCTGCAGCGATGGACACAACACCCGGCGTCGTGCAGAAAAAAACAGCTGCCTCGTGTCCTCCAGAGGGGTGTCCCGTTGGGGTGGGAGGAGAGAAGCTTGGGGAGTCATGATTGCTGTGTTTGTAGAGGGATTCGAGCTTCAGCGAAATACCTCCTCATTGTGCTTTTAAGTAGGGCATTTTGACAGCAAGATATACGACTTGATCACATGTTATCCTCTCTGGAGAAAATTATATTGTGAGTGTAAGCCACAAAACTACCTGCATTGTGGTAAATTAGCTCTGACAAAGGCAATTGTCAAATAAAAATAAACTAAAATGTTACTTTGACGTTTTTTGCCGAACCCTAGATTATTGTTCTCTCGCAACTTGTAGATGGTTTGAACGTCACAGTTAGAACATTTTGAACATTTTTGTTTGATAAAGTTGGTTAAATTTCGGTGTGATATGTTTCAGCATCATTCCCTAAAGCATAATGTTCTTCTGGCTGGCTGCGGAGCCTTACAAAAATATTTATACCCCTTCAACTATTTAGCATTGGCTATGTGATTCACACACTTTGATATATCTTGTTGAGATTTTACATGTCAAACCAATCCAGAATAGTTGTGAAGTTTTTGAAAGATTCTTACAAATAGTATAAATGTTTAACTGTGGCATGGTTTTTTTATTCAGTCTCCTTAACACTATTACCGCTGAATAAAATTTGGTGCATCCGGTTTCCTTCAGAGTTCTCCTACTTTAAGATAAAACATACGTGTGATTTTCCAAATTTTATTTAAGAAATTATGAAAATATAATTTTCCTTACACTTTGCTGGTTTATGCTGTTTTGGTCATTAGTTCTCATAAAATCACAGTAAAAGGCATTAAACTGTGCAGTCATAATGTGGCAATTAATAGAATAGTTGTATGGGTATGAATATTTAGACAAGCCTCTGAACATCATGTCAGAATTCATTTTTTGACTGTGTTACGTGGTTTCTCTGATATACCTTCGCATTTGTGCTAAACTAATTTCAAATGTCATTATTTGTTTATAATCACAGATGAAATTGTTAAACATGTTCCTATGGAAAACTCTCACATAAAACGTTGTTCCACTTAAACCACCATTTAAATTGTATTTGGTTTGTACTGTTTCATTGCTTTCATTTTATTTGGCCTTCTTGTTTGCACTGAACTGGTTTCTTCCCTCTGAGAACATTTGCTTTGCCTGACCAATCTAAACACTTTTTCCTGTGTGTTTAACAAGTAAAGAGACTCTGGTGTTATATTTTGAGGGATGGATACGATTTTGTGTTTACAGAGACTGTATAAATACAACGCACTCATTGCAGCAGACTTCCCGTCTTCAGTTCCACCCAGCAACAGCAATCAGATAAGATAAAGATAAGTGTCTCGTCCTTCTTATGTAAAGCCTCAGAATTTGCTCAAATGTGCAGGAAACTGGTGCCAGACATTAAGAAAAACGTTGTTTACTTTTGCCTCCCCTATCAGCTCCAGTAACTGAGTAAGTAACTGGGTTTCTTAGGAATCCAACATGTTGATATAGGAACTTCTCATAAGTAATTTTTATGTGTTTGGGGATCCATTTAGATGCAGTGCGTTGCAAAAGTATTTTCACCTTTTGACACATTACAACCACAAGCTTCAATGTATTTTACTGGGATTTTGTCTGATAAGTAGCATGGAATGGAAGGAAAGCTATGTAGGAATAAGAGTAGTAGCTGAGTGTAATTGTAATTATAAACATTCGTTAATCACCATCTATCCTTAGGGGTAAACCATGGACAGGTTGCCAGTCCATCACAAAGACACACAGGACAGACAAAAGCAATTTCGACAGACCAGTTAACCAATTAGTAAGTTAAATAAACCAATTAACCTTTTCGGACTGCGGTAGGAAGTGAAAAAAATATGCATGAAGGTGGAAAACATACAAGCTTCATTAGCACAGAATAAAGCCAGGTTAGTGTAACAGGCCAAGGTTTTTACAGCTTCTCAGTGGATTAAATAAATAAACAGCCAACCATGTGTGTAGTATTTGCTATGTCATAAAAGAAACACCAAAAATAAAGGTAGTTGGCAGTAAAGTTGCATAAATTAACAGCATACCTTATTTTTCATAATTCGTCGTTTATTTGTTTTAATAAAACACCAACAGGTGGCGCGCTAATTGCATTCTTCAAAAATGCCTCGAAGGTCAAGCAGTCTGAGCGCGTGCGTGAGGCAGCGTGAGGGACAGCTGGCGCACGTGCGAGGATGAACCTAGTGCGCATCGTGTGCGGAAGTAAACAAGGCAGACGGAGCTGAGTTTAACCAAAACTTTAATTCAAGGACGTGAGACCTTGGAATTGCAACTCTGAGATATTTGACACTTTTAAAAACCAAATGCCGTCAGAGCAAAGCCCATAAATCATTCATTAGCTGGATATAATTTACTTCAGCTTGTTCCTGTTGACCTAAATTAAAGGTTTTCCGAGGCAACCGCTGTTGATGGTTATAAAAATGAGAACCACCGTTATGCGCTCGTCAAGGCTCCCAGATGGACTAAGAAAGTAGCAATAAAAATGCAGCCGGGCATCACCGACTGAAGGAGCTTTTTCATTGCCCCGGTGGAGCTGCTGCCATATCATCAAAGTTTCTCAGGCGGTAACCCGCAGCTCCAGCTGGAGGAGAGAAATCACTGCCCCCAGAGCCAAGAAGACACCGGAGAGAGGGCTGGATTTAAAACCCGCCCCCCGGGGGGATCCCGCCCCCCCCCCCCCCTGAAAAAAAAAGAAAAAAAAAACCTCCCATTTTTCTCTCTCACTGTGTCTGTTTCTCACTCACTCTTCTCTCTCTGTCTTTCCCTCTGTCCCTCTCTCTTCCTCTACCTTTATCCCTCGCCTTTCGCCGTCTCCCCCCCCCACCACAAACATGGATCTCTCGGCGAGGTGTTTGTTTCTTCTATCATGTCTCGGCGTGATATTGGCGATCGATTTGGAGGCGATTGATCCGGGCTACTATGTGGAACCCAGTGCCACATCAGAGGCGATCGACTACAAGGATCCCTGTAAAGCTGGTGAGATTTCGTCCCCCTCTCTGTTTGGTGTTGTACGTTTTTGGCGAGATTTTCCTCATTTGAGAGAAGGTAGAAACATGCCGCTCGCACAGACCGAGCAGGAAAACGCTTTTAGTGGAGATGACAGCAGTGGATGTAGTTTTTAGCAGGATCTCGAGAACATTGTGTGCAATTGTTTTGTGAATGGCATAGTTTCTGCAGTTTGAAATAGTCGGGTGAAACCATCGGGAAGGATGAAAACATTTTTTTTTTCTGAAAAGAGTTCAAATTTCATCTGCAGAGCCATGAAAAGTTTTTGTTTTCAGTGCTAGTTGAAAAGTTGCTGCTTTATCTCTGAGAAATGTCAAGATCTTCTAGATTTTACAGTTTATGGTTCTTGATCTGTTTAAAAATCTGGTGATTTCTGGACTTTTATATTAAAACTTCATCTCCCTTTCAGCCCCCCCCCCCCATTTTTGGACAAATAGTCTTTTTTTCCCCGCCGCCTGTTTCACACAGCCTCTAAAAAAAGTGGAGGAGGGGAAAAAACAGAGTACAGTGGAGCTTAAATATTATGCACACATAATTCTCTTAGCTCGCACACCACAGTATAAACATGTTTGGCTTCTACTTCCAGCAGACGGACCATTGAATTGTCCTAAAGATACCCGAGATGCCATTGTAAGCTTTTTTCTCTCTCCTTATTTTTTTGTAATCTGAACTCACTGTCTTGCCAAATCCCTTCGGGGGGAGTTTGAGCAGATTGTGTTTTCCATCTGGTAAAAGTATTCAGGTTACGGATACAGAGAGCTGGCTTCAGTTGAAAATGACCTCTGATGTCCTGGAAGCACTTCCCAGTTGGGAATTTAATTTTTTAACTTTTTTTTTTGATGTGTCAGCTCAGCACATTTCATGCTGCCAACTCGGTTACCCAATTGTTTTTTTTTCTTCTTCTTTTTTTTAAAATCGTTCCTATCTGCCCAAGAACACATGCTGGACGTAAAACTTTTTAGAACTATTGCAACTGTGTGTAAACACGACAAAGGTCAGACTCCAGTTGATCGGTGTGTCATGTTCAAGTCATTAAGTTGTTGCTTCCTGCGTCTACTTTGTTTATGTTGAGTCATCCGAAGATCAGATTCATCGGACACTTGCGCATGATGCTCTCTGTGATGAGTGTTGATTTTTTTTTTTTCTTCTCTGATTTAGTTTAGGACTAATTGTTGATGTTCCAACTCTGTGTCTCAGCAGGGACATTCCACTACACGATCACTAGACGTGACTGCTGTTTACCTTGGCAAGGACTTTATCATCAATTACAGCTCAGTTTGTCCAGACCGTCATTTCGCCATACTGCAGTTGTTTTTCACGGTCTTCCTCAGGGCGCGCCTGCAGGCAGGTGGTTAGAAGATGGTCACCCATATAAACTTAGTCCGTCCATCTCTTCCGACCCTTGACCGAAGCTCCTCCCGCCTCAGACAGTCTATTTTCCAGCACTCATCCAGAACAGCGTGTGCAAGGTGGCCATTCTTGGATTATTGATTTTTTTTTTCTTTCCTCTTCTATTTTTCCCATTTGTCTCACCTCGCTGTACTCGGTCTGTTTGATCGCTCTCTGTGACTAGGGGTCAGCATTTCATGTTGCAATCCTCCCACTTATGGAAATGCTACATTCAGGGGAGGTGGGGGACCAGCTTTTCACTAATTGTTGTGTAAATTAGCTGATGCATAAGGATTCAAGTTTGCTCCTGGAATATTTTTAGTTTTTTGCAGTGGCTATTTATCTAAAGTAAGCCATGACTATAACCTTGAGTAATACAAAATCTAATGCTTTTATTTAAAAAAACAAAACAAAACAAAACAAAAATGCTGCAAAAATAAGGTTACATAATGAACTTCGGGTTATGTGTTCCGTTTATGTATTATTTTGATTTAGTTGCACAAACTTAAATAATAAAAAATATAGGGTAGCAGATTTCAAGTACTTATTTTTTCTGAATAGTATAACCTTTTGGCATTTTGCTCTTTAGAAACTAACACTGATATGCAGGGGCGACATTAGCTGGTTAAATTAGTCTTTCTATTCAGCAAGCAGTTGGTTACTTTGCATACAACCAGTAGCTTTTAAACATTACCTTAATAATAGTGATTGGTAATTCTCTTTCAGATTCTCGACCATCCTTGTTTTTCAAGAATAGGAATTTTCTCAAACAGCGATTAAAGTGTTGTAGCCTTCTTTCATCCAGCTGACCATCAGTGTACAGCAACACTTGGGGAGGGACAGTGCTGCGTTATTCTACACAGCCAGAAAAAAAACACAGCTCAGCCTGGCACTCAATAGAAACTTCTTGCAATTTTGAAACTGAGATTTAAAACATCCATACATGTGTTGTGGATAGTTAATCCCGTTATGTCAGACTATAGATTAGAGCTATTCTGTCTTGAACTTTGGGGTCTTCAGCCTTAGAGATCAGGTTTGGAGCTCAGAATAGAGCCTCCGCTCCTCTCTGTCAAAAGGGGATGCTGCTTATACTCGTTGAAATAAGCTAATTGAATGAAGCTAAGGCAGTTCAGGCCTCTGAATGCCTCCTTGATATTTGATCCTAGCACATCTTAGTCACCTCTTGGAGATTTTCCAACCAGGTCAGACTGGAAAGAGATGCAGAGGAAGACATGTGTATTTCTGGAGGAACTGTATCTTTTGGAGAAATAAATGAATAAATATGAATTGAGCGGTAAATGGCTAATAATATGGAGAAATGCTAGTTTGCCAGATCAAAGTAGAAAGGATTATATTTCCTAATATTAAAACTACCAACTTGTCATTGCATCTCCATCATGATGGAGAGATGCACTGACTGAAGCAAGCGGAGTATTAAGAGTAAACTTATTGAATCAATGTAGGTCTAAAACCAGTGGAAAATGCCTTGTTTTTTGCTGAATTCACAACTTGGCCGTGTCCCAGGAAGTCATTTAAGACTCTAACAAGGCTCTATTATAGACCCACTCACTTTCACAATTAAAAATGGATGAGAAGCAGACATGCTCGTTGTGTTTTTCTGCTCAGATGATAATC